GTCTCTACTAAAACTGGAAAGAAATTAGCTGGAAAACTAAATATATATAGAAAAAAATCAGCCGGGCACGGTGGCTCACGTCTGTAATCCTAGCACTCTGGGAGGCTGAGGCAGGAGGATTACTTGAGCTCAGGAGTTTGAGGTTGCTGTGAGCTTGGTTGATGCCACTGCACTCTAGCCCGGGCAACACAGTGAGACTCTGTCTCAAAAAAAAAAAAAATACAAAGCACGTAACAAAATAAGAACTTTAGTTAAGAACTCGAATGAAACAGAAATGTTGGTTATGCCAGAAAACCCAAAGCAATCCTGTCACGGCACGGCAGCGGCCTGGAGGGACAAGACACTCAGGCATGGCGACACACTCCAGAGTAGGCGCTGGGCCGCAGCCATGCACGCAGAGCAGGAGGTCCCCACCCTGCTGCTGCCGCCCCTGCCGCCCCCCGCGTGTGCGGTGACACGCACAGAGCCAGCAGCGGCACCTCGCTCCCTCTCTGCTGCCCACTGAGCGAGAGGCTCTGTGGGTTTTCCCATTGTACTTGACAAGACCATCTGCTTCTTAAAACTACTTTTCAGCAAAAAAGGAAAAAAAAAAACCTTGCATTTTATAGATGTGCCCCTTGCATTAGAGGCAACACCAGCCTCGGGTAAACTTCTACCTAAAACTCACCACATTTGTAGTCCCCAGAAATGAGAGCAAAACCCCCAGGTGCGTTGCAACTCTCTGCTTGTCAGCCTGCCTCCATGCGGAGCTCTGAACGCGGTTGCTCAAGCCGCGTTGTGCAAGGGCATGCGCGGTGGGCATGCTGGGAAAGGCTGCGACCACGGGGACGGCCTGCCCCACGCCACGGCGCTGGGCCCGCCTCTGCCGGCACAGCGAGCGGGACCCAGAGGGGACGTCCCTTCGTGCCCTGGTGACTTCTGCAGAGCACTCGTGCTCCGTCACCACGTTCACTGTCACCTGACGCCGACAGTCAGCGTGGGCCGGGCCAGGAGGCTCTGCAATGCCACGGCCGATGAAGAAAAGTGCAACCTGGCCCTGAACTCTGCACGCCAGGGAACGCGGCCCGGGCAAGTGCCCGAAGGCTGCGCTCGCCCCTCCCCTCAGGACACAGCCTCCCTTGCGCAACCGCCTGGCCCCGCCTTCTGGACAGAGCTAGACGGCACCAATCAGTACTTACAAGAATTCTCTGTGACACTTTAATAAATCACGTCATGGAACTGGAGGGGAGGAGGACAAGCAGGGGCCTTCCTGCTGGTACCTGAACTCCTTGGTGCTCCCCGGGGCGGGCGAGGCAGACAGGCTGCGGGACTTGGCCCGGCCCCGGATGGGGTGGCCGTAGCTCCAGGTCTCGTCCCCATGGCACGCCGAGCAGCAGTACGCGGCCGACTCCGGACACAGCTCCTTGTTCACGTGCATTTTTTCTTGTTCCATTTCCATAGTCAACGAATGAGGACTTCGGTCAGAAAAACACTGATGCCTTAACAAAATAAATACAGTGACAAAGTAAATACACATACATAAACTAATAATAACGTATACACATGTACATACACCCATTTCATCAAGAAGAAAAAAATGGCTGAAGCCCAATTACCAAAGTACTTGAAACTAGGCTGTTTCCATCTTATAGATATTTAAGAACTCAGGAATCTACCCAGTGTTTAGTTCATGCAGAAGAGCTAAAGGTCAAAGGATGAGCAAGGCAGTCCTATGTGAGAGTCCAGGCCGAGCAGAGGGACAGAGTTTCCGCAGCCACGAAGACAAGGGGTGACATCAAAGTACGGGCTCCGCCCTCACGCCCAGCAGCTGCCAAGAACAAAGGCCGCACGTCCTCACACCTGGCAAACAACGCCGTTTGCCCCACCAATCGGCCGCCTGTGAGGGGCCTGCAACATGTCTGGAGAGAAGCTTTGAGAACAAGTGGAGGGCAGCCATGCCTCGGTGACAGCGGAGACTGCACGGAGTCGGGGAGCTGGAGGGGACACGGGCTCAGGCAGACGGAGCCACTGCGGAGACCACCAGCAAGCGGGAGGAAGAGGAGCAAGGGCTGGCGGCGCCTGCCTCGCCTTCAGAGAGCAGCAGTGGCTCGCAGGGCGTGTGAGCAGATGGGTGAAAACCCCAAAGCACAACAGGCCAAGCCCCAGGAGACTCCTCAGGAGAATGGAACGGAGACCCCAGTATCTCTTTCTCCAAACCCGAGAAAAAGAAAAATCTTTTTCCAAGGAGAAGGCAGCCAGCAGTGCGCCCAGAGAGGCTGCGGCAGCGCAGGTCTTGTCGAGAGGAAGAAATCTTCAGCCCAGGAGGAAACGTCAGTGATCCCAAAGAGGCGGCGGCAGGAGCGTCTCCAGGACAGAGCGGAGATTCTCCTAATCTCCTCTGAGGAGAAGGCAGCCAGCGAGGGCCCAGAGAGGCTGCGCAGCAAGAAGAAAAGTTCCACAAAGCCCCAGGAGGACTGGAGCGACGGCTCCTGGCAGGAGGCGCACACACACCCAAAGTGACATTTCCCACACCACGTCCCATACCCCAATAAAAACAAATTCACCGCCGGGCACGGTGGCGGGAGCCTGTAGTCCCAGCACTCTGGGAGATCTCTGGAGCCCAGGACTTGAAGGCTGCAGCAAGCTGCGGTTGCGCCACTGCACTGCAGCCTGGGCAACAGAGACCCCGTCTCAAGAAAACAAAAACGAAAGAAAAGAGAAGTGCAGTGAAGAGAAGAGGAGGGGGGAAAGAAGGAAAAAAGCAAAAACATCCAAGCCAGAGTTGTGGCATTTCCCACACAAACCAGGCAAAGGGGCCACCCGTGGGGAGACACAGCCGTTGGGGTCAACACAAGTCAGCTGCGGACAGCGCAGCTCGTCAATCAGAGAGAAAACCCAGCGTACGATTTCAAACGCCTTTTAGTCCAGAAAAGCAGAATAAATATAACCAACGAGACCACAGCAGGACACACACACACACACTCCACGCCCCGCACAGAGTCTACGCTTTAAGTTCAGCTCCTCTGAGACATCCGCCAAACCGACCCCACATTAAGCCTCACAGCAAACTTCAAATTCCAAAGAGATGGCAGAGAACCGCATCTTCTGACCACAACACAATAAAAGCAGAAAAGGAGAAAAGCAGAAAAACCCTCCAACCACTCAGGAGTTCCAGAACTTTCTCTGCACCAACTTAGGGATCAAATCAATGTCAGAACCACCATGGGGAACACCCGGAACAACGTAACACAAAGCCAGGGTCTGTTGGACCCCACTGCAGCTGTGCTGAGGTTCCTGCAGGTGGAAAGCAATGAAGTCAGCGTCTAACCCAATAAAGCCAGAAACAGAAGAAAACGGGCCGAGAAGCAGGCAAGCCCGGGACCGGCACGTCAAAGAGCAGAACAGAAGGGCAGGAAAAGCTGGTGAACAACCACAACTCAGGCTGGAGGATCGAAAGAACGACCCCCGATGACGCGGAAAACACAGATCAAGGTAATTTCCAAGGGAGAACGGAGAGAGGCAAGGACAGCAGCCAGGGACCTGTGTCCTCGGAAGGAAGCCAGCACCCGCCTAGCGGGCCAAGCGGAACAACCTGCGGCGCCTGGCTCCGGAGCGGACGCAGGCTCAGCAGAATCCAGCGTGGCTCACACGCCATGGCCAGGGGCGTTCCGTGCCATCCTCCCCTTAATAAGCAAAGGAAACAGTAGGACCACCTCCGTAGGGGCTATAAGACACAGAATAAAGCCAAACGTTCTTTCTCATTAAAGGAAAAAAACAATAAATTGAGGATGAGGTAGATGTTTGTATTAGAAAGGACAAATGTGGAATTATGGACTAAATGTCCCCTCAAGCTTGCATGTTGAACCCCTAACACACGCCCCCCGCCCCGGCCCCCGTGTGGCTGAATTTGGAGATGGGGCCTCTACGGACATAGTTAAGGTTAAATGAGGCCATAAAGGTGGGGCCCTGATCAGGCAGAATCAGTGTCTTTATCAGGAGACACCACACAGCTCCCCACCCCCACCACGAGCACAGAGAGGGCCACTCAGGGCCACGCGGACACGGCGAAGGCGGCTGTCACGTTGGCAGAGTCCTCACCGGAACCAAACGAGCTGGGACCTGGTGCTGGACTTCCAGCCTCCAGGACTGTGACAACATACATTTCCATTGTTTACGCCCCCCCAGCCTGTGGTACTTTTTCTGGGAGCACAAACAACTCAGATGTGGGACGATATCGGGAAAGCAGAAGGAAAGTTCAGGAACCACGGACCAGCCTATGGACCCCATGCTAAGGTCAAAGGCAAGGGGTTTCCTGAAACCCCAGAAGCGGGGTTCTCACGCTGGCTGCACTTTACAATCACCCAAGGAGCTTCAAAAAAAATACTAATTCCAATGTCCCACCTAGACCAAATATTCCGAATCTGAGGGTCCGGCCCTGGAGTTGGTACTCTGACGAGCTCTCAGGCGATCCAGATGTTTGTTGAGGACTGAAGGCATCGTCCCTGTGGATCAACACCCTCCTGGCTTAAGACACACTGATGTTTTATCCAAATATATGAAAAATTCAACGAAAACCAGAATCTACAAAAACACGTCTGGTCTAACCACTGCTATTCAATACTGGACGGGCCACGCCGGCGCGACAGGCAGCAAATGACAGAAAAGAACAAGTGACCCTGGACTAGCAGATGTCTTGACTTCTACGTAGGAAACCGTAATCTGTAAAAGAGTGGCTGTCTCTAAAAAGTAAGTTTGTTAGCAAAGCTGCAGGAGGCAAAGTCAACATACAACAATCGATTGTGTTTCTATATACCAGCAATGAATAGGAAACTGAGATTTGAAAATATAATTTACAATAGCCTTAAAATATAAAATATATAGGCGTGTATTTGACAAAAGCGCAAAACCTGCATGCTGAGAACAGAGCATTGCTGACGGAAGTGAAAGGAAACCCACACCATGGAGACACCAGATCCAAGGTCTCAGGGTTCAAGGTCGAGATCTCTGTTCTCCCCAGACTGATCTCCCAAGTCCACCCAAACCAGCACATGGACTCAAGCAGCCGTCTCTACAGGAAGTGACAAGCTGGTGGAAATGTAAAGGAATCGGCTAAAAAACTTGAACAAACTTGGAGGGCTGACACTGTCTGACCTCACGGCTTGCTGGGCAGCCACAGGAAGCGGACGGCGTGGCGGCCTCTGGACAGATGCGCAGGTCAAGGCCACGGGACAGGTGCCCAGGAGTAGACCCCAGAGCCCTGCACAGAGATGCTGAGGCGATTTGGCAGGGAGAGGATGACCTTTTCACCAAGCAGTTCCGGAACAAGTGGACAGCCACGTCTAAAAGGAGGCCTTTTCTCTCAGCTTTGTTACTTAAGAAAAAAAAAAATTTAAATAAAAGAAAGAAGCCCACTGTTTCCTCACACCATTTACAAAGATCAACTCAAAATGGATTACAGAACTACATGTAATACCCAAACTATAGAATTTTTAGACTTTAGAAGAAAGCATTGGGAGAAATCTTAGTGGTCTTTAAAATCTTCTATTTTTGGCCAGAAGCAGGGGATCCAGCTGGAATCCTAGCATTCTGGGAGGCCAAGGCAGGAGGATCGCTTGAGCTCAGGAGTTCTAGACCAGCCTGAGCAAGAGGGAGACAGAAAAAACAAAAAAATTAGCTGGGCATGGTGGTGGCGCCTATAGTCCCAGCTACTCAGGAGGCTGAGGCGGGAGGATCACTCGAGCCCAGGAGTTCAAGGTTATAGTGAGCTGTGACTGCACCTCTGCACTCCAGCCTGGGTGACAGAGTGAGATCCTCTCTCCAAAGAGAAAGTGGGGAAGCAAGAGATCTGAACAGATGCTTTCCCACAGAAGATGTATCAATCGCATATGAACACATGAAAAGTTCCTCACCGTCACTAGTCACTGGGGAAACGCAAGCCCACACCACAGTGAGATGCCACTTACACTCCACTCGAGTGGCCAGAGCGAAGAGAACCAGCCACACCCAGGGCTGGCCGCGTGTGCAGGAGGGCAGCTCCCCACATCGGGCGGCCGTGCACAGTGGCACAGGCGGTCAGGAAAGGTGGGCAGTTTCTTAAATGTCAGAAACACGGCTGCCGTCTGATCCAGCCTCTCCACTGCTAGGTGTCTACCCGAGGGAAAGAGGAAAACACAAAACACTTCCTTGTAGGAAGAGACAGGAAACCGCTTTCATCCAGACCTCTGCCCCACGGGCGGGCACCTCCTCAAGGACACATCACCCCCCGCACTCACTCCCTTCCCTTCCTGGTGCTTAGTCACTCCCTGTCCTTGCGATGCCTCCTCCCTGGGAGTCTGTCTCCTGAGGGCCTCCCTCTGACACCGAGATGCCTGCTGGTCATCTCCCCAGGGTAACTGGAGTCACTAATTATACAGGAAAATAATAATTGGCAAACTCAGTGAGGCACCTTTCAGGCATGTGAGCAAGAAAAAATTCCCGCAGCGCCCTCCCCAGGACCGGG